GTGAGTGTTATGAATGCGTTCAGTGATCTGTGCAGCAAAGGACACAGCGCATGCTATGTCTGGTCTCGTGTGTACGACCCAGGCCAGACGAGCCCGGAGAGATCTAAACTCTTGAAACGTGGAGGTCTTTGTCAGGAACCTTAGTCTTTCGATATATTTCTTTTGAGATAACTTTCGCTCATTCCTATCCGAGGTGTCACATTGGAGCCCTGTATAGGTGAAACTTGTTTCGTTGTTCAGTTTGATGTCGAATTCATTCTTGAAGTGGGTTTGCAAGCGCTTTTTCTCTTCCTTTGTACCTGCTTGAAAAACATCATCCACGTACGAGCCTGATACGGATACTAGTTGCTCCCTTATTCGTCTAAAGAATAGAGCAAAATCCCCTGTCTACTGTTCCATTCTCAGTTTTCCTAGGTGAAACTTGTGATTGGTCTCACACCAATAATCTCCGGAGTCAGTTAATCCATACAATGGTTTCAATATTTGCACTAGTTCATCTGGTCGAAGTTCAATGGATGCTGGGCGAGTAAACACCTTGCGTTGTAGCTCTGATGCTTCTTGTAGATACGCCTGTTTTACATCGAGTGACCATACTTCGAACCCAAGAATAGTAGGCAATGCCAACATAATGCGCACTGACGATTGTTTCAGATTGAATGTATTGTGCACGACGGAGTGCTTTTCTCTATCGCCATGTCCACCAAGGACTAAGCGAGCCTTATAAAGTGTGGATCCATTATCTGCGTGTTTGATTGTGAGGACGTATCGTGACGGGACTATGTTCGGATGTGGTCCTGCCTCCTCTTCCAGTACGATCTTAAAGGTTCCCTTCTCAATTAGCCCGAGTATTTCTTTTCTTTTAGCATCGTCGAACAGATGTTCTCTAGCATCTCCAGGTTCCAGCGTTTCGGTATGCATTACTGTGTTATGGTTGGTTGCAGATCTAGAGAGTTGTTCGTCATATGTTGGGTGTCGTTGCAGTGGTGCCGGTCGAAGTTGAGCTATGTTAAAAGAACGTGGGCCAGTACTTTCTCCTAGGTGCAGACGTATGCATTTTTCCTCCACCGATGCTACGAGATGTGGACCAGTATATTGTTTTAGGCCTTCCCGGTACACGTACGCGAAGTCTCCTGGTACGTAAACGTGATCCGCAGCCGGTGGCGGTACAGTGCGTAGGCCTCGCTGCACAATGCTCTTGGCCACCACTTTCTCGTATTTCTTTCTTGCCGTGCAGGCCGCTCTCAGTCGCTCCCTTTGTACAGGAAAATCACGCTCGGATATATCGGGCAGTTTCGGGATTACCCCAAAAACCAATAGCGTGGGCACCAGTCCATGAGGTCCGACGGTCTCGTTCATTGCTTGGACCGATTTAGCAAGGGCTATATCTTCGGGCAAGGCGCGGTGATCACAGAGTACTTTTCTACAAATTGTTCGGAGTGTGGGGTGATACTTTTCGCCAATCCCTAAGGAATTGTGACTTTCTGTTCCTGTGTTAAGTAGCTCAATTCGGGAGGATTCACAATTGTATTTCCATTCTCAAGAAAGAAAGACAGACCCTTGATCTGTAAGTAATGATTCCGGGAATCCAACGTAAACTGAAGACCAAATTTTGATAAACGTATTCCAAATTGTGGTTGTGCTACTGTCCTTCAAAAATGCTGCGGCACTAAAACGAGTTCCAGCGTCTATAACATGCAACACGGGTCTAGACTTTTGCCGTCTGTCTTTCAGAAACATGATATCCATCAATATGCGATGATTGAATTTGATCTTATCTGCGTCTCTGATGCGAAATGTGATTTGTTTGGGAGCATATAGAGTGCACGTCTCGCATTCCTTTGATACATCCTTGAGGGTCTTCAGAGTATCGGGTTGCAGGTTCTCGGGATCAGCTTTGCGCAAAAGGTCGTAAAGTTTGCGTGATGAAGGGTGGAGCATGTGTCGATGTAACCTCTCTAATTGGTTCCGAGTGAAAAATACTGAAAACGAGCATGGGTTCCAACAGAGATACAAATGTCCATGTTTCATTTGCAAAGGGAGTGACCAATCTTGTTTCGTACAATTGAGGGATCGTTTCAGTACTGAAGGTTCCAAGCAATGCTGCAATAATACGTCTAGTCCAATAAGCATCGGAATATTTTCACGAACTACGTCTACCTTCAATGGTATAGTACTTCCCAGAGTTGGTAGTAGGATTGCTATTTTGCCGAGTGAGCGTGTAGGATAGGTGCCAAATCTGAAACAGGTCCGAGATGGAGACAGATTTAGCTTGATACACATTGCCCTGCAGTAAGCTTTTGCTTGGCTGAGCCCGATCAAGGATCGAGGTGATCCAATGTCAATGCATGCACCGGCAAATTTCGGGGGTCGGCCTGCAGAAAACCTTTTCGATTTGAGAAAGGCGTCTCTCACGTAGTGTATATCGATCGGGATCCGTTCCTCGGGCAAACTGTGTTGCCATTTCCTTTGACCGATGCTCCGCCGTGTCCCACAAATCGTTCTACACCTATGCATCTTAGAACCGGTAGCAAGCGTTGGGGATCGTGAGTATGTAGGTAGTGGAGCTTTGTTAGCCAGCGAACTGTCCACGAAAGGTGCGCTGGCAGTCAAAAATCCCCTATGTCGTTGCATATCTCTTGGGGCTCCTCATCGCTTCCTAGACCAGTGCGCAAAGTTTCGAATGTATTCTGAAGAGAATCGTCTAGACCGGAACCGGACTCCGCGGTGCTGTAAAGGCTTTCGAAAGGGTTGAGAGCGCTGTGTTCTTCGCTTCCGTTGCACGGGCCATGCCCATTTTCGGCTTGTGCAGCATATTCTGCATACGAATCCTCTTGGTCGGCTAAGGAAAAGGACTTGGGCAGCTGCTTTGTCCGTTCCTCCATTTTCTTTGATACGAGCTCTGATAATGTCTGTCATCGTAGACCTTTTGTCCGGGCATTCATTTTTCCAGTGGCCAACCTTCACAGACTAGACATTTTGTTCTTTGTTTTAGAGCCTGAAGTTCGCTGGGCGTTTTTGTTTTTGGATTAACTTGTTAGAGCTATATCTGTTCGTTGTGTTCCTTTTTCTTGGGATATGCTTTCCATAGGTCTCACCATAGAACACCGAGTCAGCGGGATTTCCTTTTGATGAGGTGTCCGATTTTTCTCTATTGTCTACGAGTGTCAAGGCTGAGGCCAGCATAGCATAAAGCGAATTGTAGTCCATGCCCCTCTCTTTGCCATTCGCGGTTATTCGTGCGGTAAGGACGTGCTCAGCCCAAGGCTGTCCGTCTACAATTCCTGCGAGGAACTCACCCATGTGTCCATCTTGATGTTCGTTTTGGTATGATGGTCCGCATTGTGGGATGTATTCTAAAATACGTGAATGTGCAGCTGCTAGAGCCTCAATATCTGAACATGACTTTTCGCTCTTAATTCCAGAAAAGGAGAGTCGACGAAGGTATGCTAAGGCCTGAGACTGATGTTGTTTGGAGCTGAACCTTTCCGAAATCATATCGAATGCAGCTTCGCTATTTTCCGCAGTGCTTCGTACTGTAGAATAAAAATATTCCTGAGCTATACCTGACAAACAGTTGTGCATCAATTGAACGCGATTCGTTTCCGGAATTTCTTGTTCAAACACTAGTTCTTCGAATTTCATCTTGACGATGTGCAAAGGTATTCCAGTCCCGGGTAATCCCGAAAATTTTCCATTATTGTGATGGAATCCATTTGCAACAGCCTGTCTATTTTTCGCCAGGTTTTGCTTCCTCGGGATAGAATGTTCAAGCGGAACGGTTGCTCGCAGATTTTCCTTTTGTAGAGGTTGATATTCCAGTAGTTGTTCAGCTGCATCGTTCCTTGCAATACGCGTGTCTTGTTGTATTCCTACCTCAGCACGAGCAAGGTCAGTCTCTGCTGGGGTGTATGTCAGTATTTCAGGGTTACTCTGTTCTGGGACAAAATCAGGTTTGAATGTTCCAAACTTTTTCTAAGCTTGTAGCATTTGCTGGGCTTCATTTAAAACATCAGGAATGTCCGAGTACAGTGCTTCTATTACTTTTTTTGGAAGCGGTATACCTGCAGCATAACTAACTTCCACTCCACAAACCTCAATTACTTTTCGGACGGCTCGAAAAAAAGCTGCCTTTTTCCATCGCCGGGTCGACTAGTAGAACATCTGGAGAAAGACAATCCTTTAAGAAAGATACAATTTCTTCGGCTGGCAGGTCAATAGCTTCATTAAGTTCCACGCAAATGTTTTCGATGAGCGGGTGGGTTCGATCCACTTTGCTGATGTGTTTCTTGATCGATTCCAAGTTGCGTTGCGACAGTTGCGATGAGGGATCCATAACGATCGATTAAACTAGATTTTGTATAAACTTGCAAGTGTTGTGAAATCCAGGGGGGGAAGATACAAAAATATTCTTCCAGTGTGTGTGACAATATCCAAAGGATGGTCGTCTCGCGCAGAAGCGCACGGGGTCTCGCGTACGAACGCGGTAGCAAATTCTTGCCAAAGAATATCGTGAATACTCACAGTTGGTGATTTTATTACGTGCCCTTTCTTCTTCTTTTCCTCGCTCTACAAAGCGGTAGGGTACATACATTTGTCAGTAACGAGAACGCCGCATCTCTAAGAGTTGCGCTCGCTGTCTGCATTATTTTCTGTCAGCTCCCTGAAATGCTGTCTGCTTCTTCCACATTATCAGCAACGAGCTTCTACACGTGTTATCTGTGTCAACGTATCCCATCTCGCACACGTGTGTCCGTTGTGAGTACACACGAGTGTTGACGACTGTGACAAGCACATGTGTTTCTCTACAACTGTAGTCTCCACTCGAGCCAGGACAGCTTCAGACCCCGTCCTCTCGCCTTCACGCAACTTTTCTCTTCCGTGGAGTTATTTACCATGTTTCTCCTGTACGAGAAACATTGCCCATGTCTGCCGTTCCCAGAATTCGATCCGTGATGTCTTGCCAGTCCTCTACCCACTCGCAACGAAGGTTGATCCATCTATCCACGTCCCACATCCGCACGGTCTCGTCCCAGGATGCAGATACCACATGTCTTCCGCCCGCACTCATCCCAACGCTGCGCCCCCTATCCCTGTGTCCAGTGAACGCGCCCCTCCTTGTCCTCTGTCTACTACGAATCCGGCGACCGCGGTGCAGTGTGTGTATGTCTCGGAAAACTGCTTTTTTCTGTTTTCAAAAATGTTCTTTTTTTCAGCACAGGGATAAAGCCGGGTGATGCATGCAAAACGAGAACCGGACACTTTCAGGCCTCTACTGTCGTCCTGACGTTGATGTTCCCGCCAAACCTTTCGCGCTTTCTTTATATTCATTATGAAGCGCATAGAGCTGATGCCAACTGCAGAACCACTCGTCCCAGACTACAACATCGTACACGTTAGTTAACTCAGCCCAAAAATATGTGGTCACCCTTTCCGTCTTTAGTCAGCTCAGCAAGAAACGAACACTGTTCTCTAGCCATTGAAGGGCGTCTTCCCGGGGAGCACCGTCTTCCGCTTCCCTAGCCTTGTCCAAGTATATATATGCTCGCACGAGCCGTGAAAGATAAGAGGTTTTCTTCTTCACGCTATACAATCCATCAATGTCAGCTATGTTCATTTCCTGTGCATAGACCTCCAACAATTCCCGGTTGCACCAGTGCACATCAAACAAAGGATGGCTTGCGAAAGAGCTATCAAAGTCAAAAAACCGGAACCCTGGACCCTCATCGGCGCTCTTCCTGGTTAGGTTCCCTTCCAACGCGTCATTGTGTATCAAACAATTTGGCATTTCCCAACTAATAAGTTCCGTCAGGCATTCTTGCAGCTTGACCTTGGTGTTTGACAGCTTCTGGCTTGGTTCCGTTTCCCGCACAGACAAAAGCTCCTTAGACTGAAAAAGTGAGGTCAAGTTCTCACGCATCCACAGCGGTGAATAACATGGTAGCCCGGCCTGCAACAAATCGGGCAACACACTTCTGCTTGCGCGGTGCAGACGCACCGTGTCTCTTACCACCTGCTTACGCCCTTCAAGTTCCAATCTACACAGGCCAGTCTCGTCACCGTGGTCGGTAAGGATCATTTGACGACTTTCCACGTCTGCAAACAACGGCTTGGCGACAAGATCGGGAGCAACGCTTGACATTATTGACGTCACTCCAGCATCGTTCGACGTGGATGGGCTGCATTTTAGGTAGTAATCACCCTCATTCGTCTTGATCTTTAGCACGGCTCCTCTGTAGGACGTACGGATCTGAACCAGATCCCCCATCACATGCAAATTGTGTCCACGCATTATTTCGCGCACTTTTCGAAGCGTTTCGTGGTGCCATTCGACAGAGGCCCAAGGCACCCGTCGAGGCGGCGAAACGTTGGCTGCGGCCTGTTTTAGTTCTCGTCGAATAGCTTGCTCCGCTCCTTTCTCCGAGTGCGAGACATGGACGACACCCGCTCCGTGATTATCGGTGATGGCCACCCAACTGCATCCAGAAGGCACTCGTTCAGATTTCTCACGGCACCCAACAACGATAATACCGCGGCTTCCCGAGTCTGAATGATCATCGGTTTCAACGGACCACTCTTCAAAGTAACAATCTCGAAGAACAATGAACGGAAATTCTATACCAATGACTGTCTTAGCAGCGCTGCACACATCATGTGTCGGGGTGACATCTACCGTGTCAGAAAGAAATCCCGGAAGCCTCCATTCATTAGGACCGTTTGCCACAAGCAAAACGTATCGATTACTCACATCAAAGGTGAGAAGTTGCACCTCATTGACCGAATCCCTTTCACAGCGTGCCCTGGACGACTCGTAGATAGGCTGTTCGCTGCGGAACATGTGTTCCAATCCTGGGAGCAATCTTGCGTACCCTTTCCGTCGCGCTTGTGATATTTTCCAATAAAATCTTTTGTGTTCGTTGTCGTAGAGCGCGTTGAGAGAGTTTGCGTTTGTACAAGGCGATCGCAGATTTTTGGGTAATGTTCGTACTGTACAAGATGGCAAGGGACGCTACCATGTGAGAAGTGAGAAGCAAGGCCTGGATCAAAAAGATCTCAGTCAAAAAGAGCTCAGTGGTACTCGACTGCGCAAAATTTGAATTTCTTTTCACAGCTTAAGAAGAGGCCTCATGCGAGGCCACCTGTCACCGAGACATTAATTTTGCCGGACTCGGTCTGCATTTTGTAAACCTTGTCAACGCTTACCCTTATCTGCCAGCTTGCGCTTGAGAGCTAGGCGGATAGTGGCGCCCAGTGTAGAAGCACTGTTTTGAAGAGACGCCCCTGTTGCTGTTTGAAAGGCCTTCGTAACAAAAAGAGGTTGGGATTCGGTGTTATCAATCTGAGGTTGAAAACAATTCACACTCGGCAACTTTCGTAAAGTAGAAATGATGCGGCTGACGATACAGCGCACAACTAATCAATGCACAACCGATACACTGCACGTTTTCAGTTGAAATGCGACCGAATGTCGATGTTGTACATGTGTATCTGTCTTGCTTCTGCGACATGAATATCCGAGACAGGATGCTTGTACAATTGCGAAATGCGTGCTGCAAACATAGGAAGGGTCGTAAGTCGCGTTTACCGGGCAAATCCCGCAGGCATATTCCAATATTGTCTCAAATCGACATTGAGCAAGAAGTGGCTCGTTGCGCTTCCAGCTGGTCATTTCATCAGTCAGTTTATCGCGCAGACTGCTGCAAATTAGCAGCTCAAGAGTTCACACGTACAAAATCTAGACTTCTCCCGTTCCGCTCGACAAAACTGTCTCTGATACAGTCAGTACCTTGTTTCAAACACATTCCATTGGAGACCAGTCCACCATTTTTTGTTTTTCGCGGGAAAATCGCTTCCTGCGTCGCAGTCTTCAAGCATCAGGCATGGTGCGGCTCGAAAGATTCGTGTCGCGACTTGACGGAGGTAATGTGGACAACTCAGCCGCGATTTGAACTTACGAATCAATCGCAAGCGCAAACCCATGTACATCATGATGTATTTTCCATTTCTGTAGCAGCCAGACGTCCAACTATGATGAATTCTAAAATAAATGCCATTCTTTACCAAGGACTCTGTAATGCTGCTATACATTCGTTTCAAGGAAGCGACAGAACTCTAGCGACAAGAAGGATTGGACAGCTGTCCACAGCTTCGATATCCGGTGGTAGGTTTCATGGCATTGTCTGTTACACATACACTCGAGCTTCAAGACACGTTCTAAGTAAAGCGTCCCAGAAAGCTCATAGGCAATTACACAATTGCTTAGCACTGCAGGATTGTCTATTTCGCCGACATTGTGCGCGCCGACCACCTCTGCTCAATTCGTACATCTGCAATATTTGTTCACATGGATCGGTTTTCGTCGCAATTCGGGCGGGGTGAAATCACTCGCGATCAAGAAAGCGCTTTGTTGCCATTCGTGAACAGTTCGCCTTGCCCCCATGTCCGCGCACGTTGGCTGCTTGCATTGTTTGTACTCTTGAGTTTTTTCCAGCTGCAAATCTAGGTAGATATCCAGTGATGACAGCGGTTTACACTGGTTAAAGACAAGGACTGCCTGACGCTGCCAGCTAACCTGTGACTTCGTTCCTGGGATTTAAGGATATTCCTGTCAGAAACAACTGCGTATGAGAGCGAGTCATGCGATTCGAGTAACAAAAGTGCCCGAGATAAGTGAAGCAAGTCCCACGAGGTGAAAATGAGCTATCGCGCGCACTGCTGAAGAGTTGGTATGACGCAATAAAGGAATTCAGGCCTTCGGGTCCATGCGCTTTAGGCAGGCGTCGCATCGCGCAGGACGAAAGCTTCGTGCCACTCCATCACGCGCACAACCACGTCCCGGAGATATGATCGAAATGTGCATAATGTCGCAATTTATGGATGCGCAGTACAGGCAAAGGAACACAAACATTTGAAGGGAAAAAAAAATAGCTCTCCCTTCCCAACATCAACTATGCTATGCACACCTGCACGGAGGTAAATTCGACTACAAAGATAGATATAATGCACAGTGGCTCACGCCCCAGATCCAAAAAAACAGTTTCGATCTCTTGTTAGGGATTCCTCAATGGCGCTTTTTGACAATGGGCGGGAGATGTAGCGATTTCAGGCAGCATACCTTAAACTAACCTAGCGACGTACGTGAGGCCACTCCTTGACAACCACCCCAAATACTTTCTGGAGGCGACTTCAGTTCAAACTTGGACGTAGCGTCTTAAAGTATTGTACAACATGTGCTTGGCGACGATCCAGGTATTTGTCCGCCCCTCCGTGGCATGGGAAGTGGGTCCCAAGCCGACGGCAAAGCTTCATCAAAGGCATCCTTCAGGACTTCCTGAGTGAGTGCACAGCCTTTTACAGTAGCCCCCCCCCCCCCCCTCAGAGGTCCCGCCTTGTGCCGTCGCGTCCCCTCCCTCAGTCAAAAGTAGGAAAAGGAAGAGTACAACTCTATTGTGCTCCACACCTCGACAGTCGGGCGATGTTCCGGCGATGGCGGCCACTGCAAGGCAGGGCTTGATGCGTGTGACGCTGGAGTTGGGGGTGTTAGACCCACTAATGACCACTACGTGGTCCCGGTTCAAGCTGGGATCTATAAGGGTGAGCGCAATCCAGAATCCTCAACAAACAGCCTTTCTTCACTTGCTCTGCTTGAGGTCTGGATCGACAAAAAACAGCGGCCGTTCTGCAAAGTGGATCAGTCTCGTTGCTGTTGGTAGACTAGCGTTTCGTAAAGCCAGGTGATGCATGTAAAATCGAAGAACACTGAACAGAATTTTAATACTGGTGAGTGTGTCCTCACCGCTGCACACACCCGAGGCCCCGCTATCATCTACTTTGTCAGAAAGAAATCCCAGAAGCCTCCATTCATCAGGACCACTTGCCACTGGCAAATGTTACCGATGGTTCATATCAAAGGTAAGAAGGAGCACCTCATTGACTAAATCTCTGTCACACCGTGCTCTGGACGACTCGTAGATAGGCTGTCCGCTGTAGAATGGTATATCCCCCAATCCTAGAAGCAATCGTCGAACTCCTTTCCGTCAGCCTTGTGATATTTCTCCACATGAGCCTCCTTTTTCTTTTCCCCAGCGCGCGTAGAAAGATGTTTCACTTCCACAGTGGCACCGCAGACTTTGCACATCACGACCGGCATGTTCGTGATGTATGTGGAAGAGGAATGTTAGCGTACGAGTCGGAGCGGGCGGAAAGGACAGGAATATCAAAACAGTAACTCCTTGCTCAGGACAGTGCCGTACTTCAAAACTCCTTCGTGGTCTGGGGCGATGCGGTGGGACGTATAGGCTTGTTCACTATAAATACACAACTGGGAACCTGTACAATAGAGCAAGCACATGCGCAGAGTTGACCTACTCGTGTAGCATGCAACGGTGCCTGTCCAATGGCAACTGATGCGAACAGTTTGTATCTTTTGATTTCCTTGGAGCCTCTAAACCCTGGCTCAGTTGATGGGCGTTTTCGTCTTTTTGCATCCATTTTGCCTCAGGAAGGAAAACAAGCGCGCAACACTGTCTCGTATGAACTATATTTGAAAGATCATCGCTTCAATAAATGCTCGGAAATTCACCAAGACTGTGATATGGGTACTTGGATATCACAAGAGAAGTCATGTCCTGTCTCTCGTTTCACACAGACAGGTGTGCATTGTGTGGTGGTGCACATAATATGTGCAAGCGATATGTTATATCGCTTTCCCGCAAGCTGGATGTAGACAATTCCTGCCATCGCTTCCAGTTTCCGGAAAATCGTCCCACGCACAGTACCCTTGGGTACTGCACATCGGACTACGGCAACGATACCGGGAATACAGCTAAGTGGTACAGTATCTGGAAATAGCCCGTCATACGCGTGCTGCGGGGCGCGAACCGCAACATAAATGCACCCACAGCGCCGCAGTTTTTGCATGATCCACGACGATGTCATAAAGGGGCCCACCCCCTGTTAATCAGCAGCACGCCGTCTGTGGCGTGAACGCCAACGCTGGACATCGTGCTTAAAAGACGCTCCCTACTCGTTGCAATGGTGTCCGAGGAAGGCGGGGCGAAAATATGACGAAGGCGAGGATGCAAAGGTTGCGGTGATTTGGGGGCCAGGGTATGTTGGGTGAGAGCGAGGCTGTCGCGGAAGAAGAGGGCAGGTAGGAGGACGAGGACGGGGATAGGGGCCTGGCGTCGGCGAGGGGCGAGCATGGCTGTTCCGGTTACGAGCCGCGAACGGGTTAGCGTGATGGGGGGTCTGCAAGGTGGACGCGAGGTCGGAGGCATATAAGGAACCACGCTAGATGGGGTGGTGGGTGAGTCTGGGGAAGTGTGGCAGACACGGGAATGCGTGGGAGGGAGAAACGTTGTGGTGGAGACGCCGCAGGATAGAGACCGGTGGCGCAGGTCACGAGTACAAGTGCGCATCTGAAAGCACTGTACAGTACAAGAGCGCACCTGAGAGACAGCGCTGCCCATTTATGTAAAGCTAACATCCACGTGTAACACGTGGGTGATTGCGTCACAAAAGCTCTGGCTGCTGGGCGTGTAGAAGACGGCGGCTTTGTTGATTACAGTCTGGTGACGTGAAGCTGGTTGATACTGTAGATCACAGATACAAAGATATGGACTGGCAACGTCCATGAAACAAGACTCTCAAGCATTCGCATCATCAAAATGAACCCCACCCCCCTCAACTACCATGACGCACCATTGCAACACAACACAAATACATGGGGTGGCAAGCGTCTACGGCTTTTCGCGATTTAGACCACTATCTTCATGGAAGCAACCGGATTAGCCACCACTGCAACTACAACTGCGTGATCGTGCCATATCAGTGAGTCTACTGTAGTCTCCACTCGAGCCAGGACAGCTTCAGACCCCGTCCTCTCGCCTTCGCGCAACTTTTCTCTTCCGTGGAGTTATTTACCATGTTTCTCCTGTACGAGAAACATTGCCCATGTCTGCCGTCCCCAGAATTCGATCCGTGATGTCTTGCCAGTCCTCTACCCACTCGCAACGAAGGTTGATCCATCTATCCACGTCCCACATCCGCACGGTCTCGTCCCAGGATGCAGATACCACATGTCTTCCGCCCGCACTCATCCCAACGCTGCGCCCCCTATCCCTGTGTCCAGTGAACGCGCCCCTCCTTGTCCTCTGTCTACTACGAATCCGGCGACCGCGGTGCAGTGTGTGTATGTCTCGGAAAACTGCTTTTTTCTGTTTTCAAAAATGTTCTATTTTTCAGCACAGGGATAAAGCCGGGTGATGCATGCAAAACGAGAACCGGACACTTTCAGGCCTCTACTGTCGTCCTGACGTTGATGTTCCCGCCAAACCTTTCGCACTTTCTTTATACTCATTATGAAGCGCATAGAGCTGATGCCAACTGCAGAACCACTCGTCCTAGACTACAACGTCGTACACGTTAACTCAGTCCAAAAATACGCGCTCACCCTTTCCTTCTTCGGTCACATCAGCAAGAAACGAACACTGTTCTCTAGCCATTGAAGGGCGTCCTCCCGGGGAGCACCGTCTTCCGCTTCCCTAGCCTTGTCCAAGTATATATATGCTCGCACGAGCCGTGAAAGATAAGAGGTTTTCTTCTTCACGCTATACAATCCGTCAATGTCAGCTATGTCCATTTCCTGTGCATAGACCTCCAGCAACCCCCGGCTGTACCAGTGCACATCAAACAAAGGATGGCTTGCGAAAGAGCTGTCAAAGTCAAAAAACCGGAACCCTGGACCCTCATCGGCGCTCTTCCAGGTTAGGTTCCCATCCAACGCGTCATTGTGTATCAAACAATTAGGCATTTCCCAACTAATAAGTTCCGTCAGGTATTCTTGCAGCTTGACCTTGGTGTTGGACAGCTTCTGGCTTGGTTCCGTTTCCCGCACAGACAAAAGCTCCTTAGACTGAAAAAGTGAGGTCAAGTTCTCACGCATCCACAGCGGTGAATAACATGGTAGCCCGGCCTGCAACAAATCGGGCAACACACTTCTGCTTGCGCGGTGCAGACGCGCCAGATCTCTCATCACCTGCTTACGCCCTTCAAGTTCCAATCCAAGCAGGCCAGTCTCGTCACCGTGGTCGGTAAGGATCATTTGACGACTTTCCACGTCTGCAAACAACGGCTTGGCGACAAGATCGGGAGCAACGCTTGACATTATTGACGTCACTCCAGCATCGTTCGACGTGGATGGGCTGCATTTTAGGTAGTAATCACCCTCATTCGTCTTGATCTTTAGCACGGCTCCTCTGTAGGACGTACGGATCTGAACCAGATCCCCCATCACATGCAAATTGTGTCCACGCATTATTTCGCGCACTTTTCGAAGCGTTTCGTGGTGCCATTCGACAGAGGCCCAAGGCACCCGTCGAGGCGGCGAAACGTTGGCTGCGGCCTGTTTTAGTTCTCGTCGAATAGCTTGCTCCGCTCCTTTCTCCGAGTGCGAGACATGGACGACACCCGCTCCGTGATTATCGGTGATGGCCACCCAACTGCATCCAGAAGGCACTCGTTCAGATTTCTCACGGCACCCAACAACGATAATACCGCGGCTTCCCGAGTCTGAATGATCATCGGTTTCAACGGACCACTCTTCAAAGTAACAATCTCGAAGAACAATGAACGGAAATTCTATACCAATGACTGTCTTAGCAGCGCTGCACACATCATGTGTCGGGGTGACATCTACCGTGTCAGAAAGAAATCCCGGAAGCCTCCATTCATTAGGACCGTTTGCCACAAGCAAAACGTATCGATTGCTCACATCAAAGGTGAGAAGTTGCACCTCATTGACCGAATCCCTTTCACAGCGTGCCCTGGACGACTCGTAGATAGGCTGCTCGCTGCGGAACATGTGTTCCAATCCTGGGAGCAATCTTGCGTACCCTTTCCGTCGCGCTTGTGATATTTTCCAATAAAATCTTTTGTGTTCGTTGTCGTAGAGCGCGTTGAGAGAGTTTGCGTTTGTACAAGGCGATCGCAGACTTTTGGGTAATGTTCGTATTGTACAAGATGGCAAGGGACGCTACCATGTGAAAAGTGAGAAGCAAGGCCTGGATCAAAAAGATCTCATCGCAAAAACCAGCCTGTTAAGACACGCCCTTAAGACACGCCCTCAGGGCGTGTCTTAACAGGCTGGCTTTTGCTTTGCCTTGCCCGGTTTTGCCAGGAATACTTTTAAATTCTTAACAAATACCGTATGCTTCTTAAGCCCTTGCTTTTCTTAAACACATAAATTAAAAAGTAGGAGCCACTCATAGCACGCCAAATCACTTCTTTGGGCAAAGCAAAGCAAACCGCAGCAAAACGGGGCATGTTAAGACACACCCTCAGGGTGTGTGAGGGTGTGTCTTAACATGCCCCGTTTCAGTCAAAAAGAGCTCAGTGGTACTCGACTGCGCAAAATTTGAATTTCTTTTCACAGCTTAAGAAGAGGCCTCATGCGAGGCCACGTGTCACCGAGACACTAATTTTGCTGGACTCGGTCTGCATTTGTGTAACCGTCCATTCATAAAATTAAAAATGGCTAAAAAATTGATTCGGAGATATGGCCAAGACCCTTTTTTTAACGAAAAAACACGAAAACCCCTTTCTTTTTAAGAATGTCGAGAGCTTTGAGATGCCGCAATCCGTTTGTTAATCCGACCAATAGATTCAGAGATGCGCCCGAACTTGCCTCGCACAGTACAGAACAGCTGGTTCACCTTCTTTAATCAGTGGAGGCCCTCAGGGCCTCCTTTAAGACAGCATGGACGGGCATGTTTGGACATGTATGGACGTCAGCGTGCACCTGATTGGTCCATTTAATACTTTTCTTAACAGTATGATGGCGCACACGAAGTTAATATAATGGAATCTGTCGCTACCAACGTGCCATACGAGAGCACACCATTGGCTGTCGCCTACCGCATAAGTGCGATAGAATTCAATCTTGATCCAATTTAGCATACATTAAAATTCAATTTAATCATTTTATTGACGTCCCTGAATGCCAGTACACGGGGATCGCGATATAGTGCCTCCCTCTGTCAGTGGGCCGAAAACGGCACTATATCGAACCAGGCACTGTAAGATAATGAGATTTGCGGCTTTTTTGCAGCCACTTCCTTGCATCACTGCTCAGAAAGACCGTTCGCTTCCCTATCGATAGCCCGGTATGAAGCACCCCTTGAGCCAATTTACGGATCACGGCGCGCTGACACAATACATTAAATTATTGGACATGTAATATTTTGAAAATCGCAAACATATACATCCAAACATGGCGGTCCATGCTGTCTTAAAGGAGGCCCTCAATGAACATACAGTCTTTTGCTACCTATTTCTCCTTTCCATTGCCAAAGTAATCCTCAGCAAAGCGTTGGTTGCCCTCATAATACCTTTGGCATACATTCTCCTCAAGATAGTCCCTTCTGGTGTGCTCCCGCGGCAAAGGAACTAGTTCTAGAGGCGTCGGACTAAGAACTAACGCTGGATTGTGCAAAGCTACGGCAGTCTTCTGCATCACTAATGCCTCCGTTACGCTTCTCTTGAAGAGGCAATAGTCGGAAAAGTCACTCGTGCTAGAAAGCTCTTTGACTTTCAAAATACCAGGTTCTGCCCTTCTGACCGTAAACACATGATACTGGCTAATACGAAACGACGTAGGAGTCTTGAACAAACCTGTTAGAAACTCCTTCCAATCAAACCATGGAACATCAACAGAGTAAACACCTTCATTGGTTCTCGCACTTCCCTCTATTACCCCCATCATATCGGGCGGGCAGAGTACATCCGCTTGTTTTAGTGCTCGTTTCACGTGCCCAAATGCACCGTCACACTGATTCTTAGTGTGACCGGCGACTAGAAAGTTCAGCTCAATTTCAGTCTCGAAACCAACACAGACACGCCACGCCAGGTAGTAAAGCATGAATTGGTTTTTGTTGTGGCCAGCGCAGTTATCTGCATGCAAAACTAGTTTGCGAACACTTGCACAACTGAACCCGGCTGACGTTGCAATGCAATTGCATGATTTAACATAGAAACGACTTCGTTGCATGTCTTGTCCATTGGCCAATACCCCTCTGGAAGGCCAAAGATGTAGGTTCGATTGATGTTGCTACACGCCACCCCAAAAAATCAAATTTAAGCCCAGTAACAAAATGCAGTTGACCGGGCTGTCGAAGTAAAGAGGGAAGAAGGATCTTTTCGGCAAAGTCGAACACGAGGTGAATATAATCTCCCGATAGGCTTTGTTTTGCCTCACTCTGCAAACTGCGGTATCGTCTGAATTCAACAAAAGCCTCCTGCCGGTGCCTCTCCCGTGCCTGTAAAACGGCGTCTTTAGCATTGGGATCCTGTAGGTTTTCAGCAGTATTCTTCAGTTGAGTACACAGGTCGCAGAAGTCACTTCCGTTCTTTAGAATGCGTAATGTAGGGATGTGTTGATTCCAAACCTTCCCAAAGCCGTCTTTGCTTAGCGGCTTTTCTGGACGTACTGGGGAACCAGACGTCGACAAAAAAACAAAGTCCATGATTTCTGACCAGTTCGCGACATAAGCATCATAAACAAGCTTCTTAATAGTGTCACATGGCAACCATTGCACTGGGTGCTCATCGGATGAGCCACGCCCCGTCGGGCATGCCAGTGCATGCAAATCACCATACCGTGGCAGAAAGCCAATAGCAACTATAGTTTGCAAGGAGCGCCTCCCATTCTGCCCTTCAGACCTTAAAGGTATGTAAGGTCCAATGCTGCGGTTACTGGATACCTCAATTGCATGCTTGTTGATAGTCACGGAATGCAGTTGGACAATCGCGCTAAATGCATGTCGGCAAATCCGTTTACCGAGCAGACAGTAAACTGTTGATGTGTTACCGGCCGTATCGGTGCGACGCCTCTTAGCTTTGCGCTTTGCGGCGTGACCTGGCAGCCATTCACATAACTCATTTTGGCTGTTGGCTGCTGAGGTGAGGGCTAAAAACATCGACCTAACAATACTCAGCCTGTCTGAGTCTTTTAGCGACACAAATGAGTACGCTAAGTCTTCTGCATCATCAAGTTTATCCACACATTTAGTTTCACAAATACACTGCATCATAGCCTTGTCGTAGTGCGTCTTTGCATTTAACTTTGCCGCAGGCGTCAAGGACTGCGAAAGTAGTGTTAGGCTTGGCTGCGGAACGGACTGTCCATTAACATCTGCGAGGAGGGACTCAGCATCGGCAACGAGACGAGTGACATCTAGCTGTTGTTCACTGCTATCTGTCGTTGTGCACAGTAGGTCCGTTTCTTGCATTGACTCAAGTCCGAATGGGTCTTGTTGCTCACCGGACATGCCGACAGCAGGGGTAGAGGGGCAGGGAATGGAAAGGGGAGCGTTGAATGCGGTAAGGGACCCAAGGGATGGGGAACGAGAGAAATGCAGCGCGAGGATCACTGTGCGCTGTGGCAGTGCTTAAAAAACGTTTTACCTTTTTTCTCCCACTTCCTGAGGGTTTCTAAAATATCTTCATCAGCCAATGAATGTATTGTTTTTTAAAATTCCTGGCGTTGTAGTCATATCTATGTAACAAAACCTCGCCCGTGTGAATGGGGAGATTAAGCAGATTACAGCTACATAAGAATCTTGGGGTCGACCCACTTAGCCATTTTTAACTTTATGAATGGTCGGTTACACATTTTGTAATTCTTGTCAACGCCTACCCTTATCTGCCAGCTTGCGCTTGAGAGCTAGGCGGATAGTGGCGCCCAGTGTAGAAGCACTTTCGCTGGGTTGTAAGGCCAATGCTCGACGAGCGTCTTCAGCACCTTGGGTATAACTCAAGGTCTTCGACGGGGGCTTGTTCAGCACTTCCCGACGGGATCGTAACCGTGTAGCAGCGCTACTACCGACGTGTTGCCCGATGGCTAAAAACACCCTCACCAGCGCGATCGCAATCGCGGTAGGTGGTACCAACTCTTTCTTATACAGTAGGACCTTCGACGGAGGCGTCGTTGCAACAGCCTTCCGACGGAACTTGAAACAGTAGCAGCGCTACACAACATGTTGCCCGATGGCTAGAACACCTACACCGGATCGGTCGCAACCAACTCCAGTGGAACCAACACAATTAAGGGAAATCTAGAGGTACAAGTAGAAATGAATAGGGAAATAAAGGAAAAAGAAAAGGGGAACCCCCGAGCGCAAAGGATAACGTAATCTGTGGTAAAAGGGAGCGTCTTGGGAAAGACGGACTTCGACCAAGGCGATATTCAACTCTGGCAACTCGGGTTACCTTTACTGACTTGGTGGTCAAAGGGCTAATGTATATATCGCCCGCCGGAGTCACTACAGTAGCTCGCGGCGCTAGATCCTAGATCTAATCTAGTGTCAGCAAAATTAATGCCAACTAATTAACTAAATAAAATAAAATAATTAAAAATTCAAACTGTGCAATTATTCACACGTGTGTCCCCCAACTCGGACTACTTTTCATATCCAAATATTTTCCTTTCTTTTCACCCCCCTTTTCAGGTGCGTATTGCACTACACTCACCCCGTGGCGGTGCTGAAGCGACGGCTTGGGATCCAAAAATACCAGGCCCCTCCCCGCGGTCGTAACGCGTACGCGAACTTGCGAAATAGCGGGGACATTTACCCAGCGCGCGATCCGAATCGGGTGCTTGGTTTCTTCGCGTACTTCTGCGCGGTTTGTTTCGCGTCCATGTCGCATTGTAGGGGGAGACGGCTCCCCTTTCGCGTTCACGATGGCCACGGCGACCCCATGCCGGAGCTCGAGCCTCTGAGCCTCTATGTCGATGCTCCGGACATGCGCGTCAATGAACGAGGTGCCAAGAAGCACGGGTACGGCCAGTTGGTCCGCGACGACGAACGGGACTCGGAACGTCGTGTTCCGAATCCGGACAACCAAGCGGACCATGGCGCTCAGCCTCAACGGATTCCTGTTCGCTCCGGCCAGCCTTGGCAATGGCGCGTCTCGTATCGCGTGTCGCGTCCAATCGGGAGGAAGGTCGGCCTTCCTCACCAGATTGTAGCCAGAACACTTATCGACGGCGATAGTGTACGGCTTGAACGCGTTCTTCTCAGTGGCTATCGAGCCCAATATATTGTAGATCTTGGACGTCATCAGGCAGACGACGCCCTCTACGACCTTGGGCGGGACCTTTCGCGCCAGGTCATTTCGCTTTGGGCGTCGGCGTCGCGTCTTGCCCCTTCTTCGCGTTCTTCTTCCTTGACCGTCGGAGTCTGGGGCCTCGCGTCCGTCTTTTGGCCCTTGACTCCTTGGGCCCAAGGAGGGGCCCACGCGTTGTTCACGCGTTACTTCTTCACGCGGCGCCTTCTCGACGCGCACGTCGCGTTCTTCTTCTTGCACCGGGCTCTTGCTGTCTCTGGTGCCTTCACGGCGGATCCGTGGCATCCGACCTCCGGCGGTCGGGAAATCTTCGCGTTCGTGGGGTGGTACCGGGCTTACGGAAGCCGCGGTCATTTCGCGTTTGATAAATAATTGTTTTCGCGCCGGACAGTCGTGGGTCGCGGCGACTTCGCACTCCGGCGAGGGGAATATCATCGGTAAGTATTCCCCCTGCCCTTGATAAGGGTATGTTGACGGGTCGGGTATATATTGGCGAGACGGTTCACGTGATCGCGTTAACGTGACCGCCTTTACGCGTTTTTCGAGCTACCTGAGCTATCCGAGCTAGTCGCGCCACTATCGGTAGCTAGCGCGGCTCCGGACCTCCGTTCGAGTGGCTGGCCTGGCCGTACCCACTCCAGAGCGGTAGCATCCGCGAAGTACTCGGGTACTTCGCGGGCGTGATTTTCAAC